CACAGGAACAAAGGGAATGCGACACCAGATGTCCTGCAGATAAAAACAAAAAACAGTATAAGTATTGGATAGATAATTGTTCTGCATACTATTGCGCCGCAATTCTGCCTCAGAATGTCAAAATCACAACGGCACAAGAGTTTGAACGATGCTTAAAGCAGGAGGAAGTCGTCACCTGTGTACAAGACAGACTGCCACAGTGCGTTGTTCACAACAAGCTTCTACCTACAAGCCTCTGCATGTATTGTTATAGACGCTTAGGACTAAATTGTTCGTGCATGCACAGGTGGAGACCCCCTGCTTTAAATTTGGATCGAGTGAATGTTCAAATTCCACAATTGTTATTTTAGGTACAAGATATCTGAATAATGTACAGCTACAAACTACTTGCTAAATTTAATGATTTCCTTGGTAGATACAAATATAAATCCCAATCTGCAATACAAAATAAGTTGTCATGGAAATGACGACGAGATATTACTGAAAAGAGTTCATGTGTTAGAACACCATTTTTTCACATGGGAAGCTCCATCTGACCTCAAACACCGAGTTTTATTTTCGTTTACAACAAAATGCGCGCATATAGCACAATTACTTTTCAGTATGTAGTACAACATTTGACATTATGGTTTGTGAAGTCATTTGATTGACACCAAGATTTCACCATCTTTCAGTTGAACAATATCCTTGGATATTGATTACATCAGTCAGGTACTTGCAGTCTAACGTAGATGGTACCCATCAGCAATACAGTGGAATATTTCATATCAAAATTTTTTTTCTTTTAATCTATGAAAGCAAGTAATTTCACTTGGTATATATTTATATAAACAGCCAACAGGTTTTGCATATCTATCATGGACATCGAATTACACCTATTGCAATTTTTAAAAACCACTAAAATTTCAAATGCTATAAATTTACTAGTTTAAATTTTAGTAATACAAGCTAAGATAGTAATCAAATCAACTAGCGTAACATACTCAAAGTCGGCGAGGTTCATGTCAATAAACACAAGCAGCCAAGCTCATTCAGCAAAAACAGTAACTGTCGAGTTCAGATGTCTGCTCACTCATAACCAAAAATGTATTAACACTTGAAAAATTAAACAAAATTGCCACCTGTTCGCTGATTTAAATCAATCATCGTAAAGTAAACTAGATATACAAATTCAGTTATTTATGAATCCGTGTAGTTGGCAACCATTACAATTTTTTGAATTAAGTAGTTCAGATTTTAGGTTAAAAAACTAAGACAGTTTCCAAAAAATAATGTTCATCTTTATCAAAAGTATCATGGCAGTTCTGTGTAATAAAGCACTAATGAATTTCTATTACCCCAGACATGGCAGACTATCACCAAGAAGTTGATATTTGACATACAGACTGAATATTTCTGGTGGTTTCAGATGACTGATAAAGATGTGTATACGCAATACCTCATTTTAACTTCAACTTCCGAATGCAAACAAATTTGTTTGACCCATGTCAAGCGAAGATTCGCCACGGATAGTGAAAAGGTCACAATTTGAATTGCCACAAAAAAGCAAGCGATTTTTGTTGTCATCACAATAGGGTGAACTTGACAGTAATCTGCTTTTATGCACCTAGATTGGTTATGCAAAAGAGCCAGAAGGCTGTACAATTTTGAATACATGCTCATGAACCACGATTTCTGCTTTAGAAATGGACACAAGTGATTATTAGGATATCAAATTAGTTGAAATATTGTAGGGTTGCTCGTGAGAGACCCAATATACATCATGAGCTTAAATGAAACTGGCCCAGTCAACACTTGCAACAGTTGTGGGTGCAGTACATTCAAGAGAAGAGACCTACATTAACAAGGCAACAATGGCCACAAATGTGAATTCTTGAACTGAATGGATAAATACAGTGCATCTGGACCACAATATACATCTTTATGCATAGTTAAATGACCAAATTGGTTGGTTGGTCATTCTTTAAGATACCAGCTTTGACCAGAGCACACAAAATTAACACGCATGTACGACTACAAATCACCACAAAGTATAAATATACTTTAACTCTATTCTCTTTACATGTATCACAAGACCAATTTAACTATCAATATAGAATCACGACTACTGCCACAGCAAGGTCTCTTTAAGCTTATGGACTACCTGCCTACAAACTGCTTGTTCTCAATCATTAACATCATCAGAGTAAATAATATCCCTGAAAACGGCAGTTTTGCCCTAATGTTAAATACAGAAGCAGTTTTTTACAGTTGAGATACAAGTTAATATCCCGCGACGACCGTTTCATTGGACTGAACATATTGCAACAAACCTGTTAAAAATAAAACAAGTTTAAGGTAAAGTGTTAAAATATAAACACTATAAAAACTCTTTAGTCAGATGGAACTCCCATGATAAATTTACAATTTTAAGAGACATTTGATAAAGTCAAAACTACTTACCCTTACCAATGGCATCTTGTGAATTTACATTTTATTTAACACACCTAAGTTGTCAGTGTATAAAGTTTCTTCTTTTAATCTTAAACTGTTACAAGCAGCAATGTTAAAATAGATATTGACTATGAGAGCTAAATGTGGACAGCAGTGAATGAAACAAAACTATACAACTTGCGACAACAAAATACCACATTACCAAAAATCAACTTGTGTTTACTTGCATCCTGCCGATTTTTAGAAAGCACAGCACCATACTATACACACTTTGAAATAGTACTTGAAAACTTTCAACCACAGAGTATAAAATAAACTCCCACAATGATGGAACTGCAAAGCCATTGACAGATGATCCACAAGGCACACAGGATCTGACCCTCCAACATGGTGAATCATGGGCAGAAATCTATAGAGGCATGGTGTTCAAATTCTTAGTACTCAGTCTACATCTGACAATATGGATAAAGAATGTTAACAGCTCTGAACAATTTACGGTCACTTAGGTAGTAGCAACCAATAGTTTCACAAGGCTCGTCTCTTGCATTGAGTTTTGAACATGGCCATTACAACCTCTCAAATTTAGTAACCACGATGCACTCCACAGGGTTTAGTCGTCCTTAGTCTTTGTATAAATTAAAACTCTTTGTCTAAAATAACAAAATTAGGAAATTCAAGACTATCTGAATAACTGACTTGCAGCAATGGCTGAAGTGAGAATTGCATTGCACAACATGGCTAGGCAAGGCAAAATAGGGAATAGAAGTCACAAAATGCAATATACCCGGTATTTTGCACTGGGGTAAAAATTACTGGCTAAAAAAGTCTGGATGGGTAATTGTCTTGTTCTATCTAAACTGATGGAAAAATTCCACACCACATTCAATTCCTGGTGAACTGCTGCACTGATAAAGCAAATCATTTTCTTCTGAGATCATATGTACATCAACTGCATTATATTTTCTAATACATCATAAAGGAAAACACTGCTGTCCACAAAGCTCAAGATACAACATTTCAAGGGGAGATAAACACCAAAGAATTTAAAACTACATGGAGGGGAAAAAGCATGGGAAAATGCCTTTACTACATACCTGCAATAATATGTAATCCTTTTAATATTACTACAGTGAACTTTAATATTTGATGGCACAGTGAGGTTCAATGTTTTGTTTAACAGCTAAGGCGATTACAATCTTGTAGGAATTCTATCTTGAACCTTGCACCATCAGTAGCTAGGTACAAGTATTCGGGCAGGTCAACAACATCATGTCCATGTTTTTCTGCAACTGCTTAGCCAAGAAGCTACTGCAATAATGTGCCTATCTCCTACAATGCACTGCTGAGCTGCCATCACATTACAGATGCAAGAACTGCACACTTCTCATTCATCATTGGACTTCATAAGCGGTTGTCTGACATATCCATGCAACCTACACATGTAGACACTGGCATCAGTGCTCTCACGAAGTTTTTAAGCATATTGGTATGCTTTAATTATTAGGTGAAATATGCTAATTAGGTCAATAGTAATAAATATGCTAATTAGGTCAATAGTAATAAAAATGCTTATTCAAATTATAGCTCAAAATGACTGCAATTTTGACCACTAATTAAGTTGCATTTATAGTATAGTCACTAAGTTACTGTATTCCACTTTTGTATAATTTTTGGTATTAATGTCAAGTTAACCCAAGCACCGATCGATACCTTCATGAAGACAAAATTTAAAGAGTCCTGCTTCTTGATTGACATTTTGATCAAACTTCACTCTCAGGAAAAACTACACTAGTGAAACAATAGTTGCATTATTTTTTTTAGACAAATGCAATACGAAACAGTTAATCAAAAATTCAGTTAAAAGTGAATGGGGTAGTATCTTGTAACAAGTGCTTATTCAAACATGGCGAAACAAATTATTCTAATACTCTAGCAGAATGCACTAATTCTCTTGGCAACTCTAAATCTTTACAGTGCTAATATAAGAAAGTGGATGATACAAATCTTGAGGTCACCAATTTACACATCAAACTTGTTGAGTATAAATAACACCTATGTACATGTTCAAAATTTGCTTTTATACATCTTGTTTGTACACATTTATATTCAATTTTAGGCTGCTTATTTTCATGACGAGAATTACTGTATTGAGAAATTGCAGGGTGGGCAGAAAAATAATTACGATATTTTTAGAGGGTTGCTCTGCACGACTTTGCAAAGAGAAAATTCATTTCATGCTATGCTTTCAGAGAAAAATACTAACTTGTTGCCTATAATTTCAAGTCTTGTGGTTCAAAAAACAGTGCATGCAAGCCACATCTCTAATCCACTATTAGTCAGAAAATATGAACTAAACTAGTCTTACAATCAACCACTCAACGAATATTCAACAAATTTTAAATAGTTGGTAAGTGAACACTCGTGGCGGGGGTGGGATTAAAATTTAGCTCATGCACGTTATCGCGGTACGATTCATACGAATAGGATTTTTTATATCACTTAATTGTAAGATTGATCGTCAAGAGATGAGTTAATAGGGATCATGTACAAGACTATTAGGAGAACAATTACTGAAGAATTATATACTGGTTTATTTCAATTCAACTCTCAATAAAACTAATACAACTATTTTGTCTTTGTTGGTTTAAGATATCAAATAGAAATGACTAACAACGACTTGAATCTCAACAGTAGAGCACTGGTCACGATTGTTATCCACTGCCAAACTTACTTATGGTAAAATATTAAGCGCAATTTTCATGAAAAACAATATTATCCAGCATTTCAATGTCACGATTAACGCATTTGTGATACATCTAAAATTTGAAGACACCTATTACATATAAAAAGGTATTATATACTTAGGAAACACGATTAAATAGTAAATAAAGAATAAAAAAAATTGGCTAACAGAAAGTTTGGCTAACAGAAATACTGATGGCAAGGGTAATGATGCCTTAGAAAACATCGTATTTCTTCGATTGACTTGCATATACAAGCTTCAAAATCAACACTGCTAAGCAGCTACAACAGAAGAAAGTCTGCAGCAAATCCGCAAATCTGGACGTTACTAAAATATCTGTTCAACAAGTATTTATACTTTGGAAATTAATGTTCTTTGAATGTCAGTGCAATCTAATAATGACGCATACGCTTTGAAGCAAAATCATCTTGGCGATCCATTGGGCCTCGTCGATCCATATCCATGCGATCAAAACTTCGTCTTCCTTGCATATCGTCTATACCTCCCCTTGGACCATTGTTGCCACCACCCATTGGACCTGATGGTCCTGAGCGAGACACTAGTGGACTAGGACCTTGACGAGGGGGCTGATCAAACCTAGACTGGCGCTATATATTTTTTTTAATGGTCATCACAACAAGGTATTTGTTCATTACATGTGTAATTTTAGAGTATTCCATTGTCAGTCAATCAGCAACGATGGCGAGAACAGCAACAAAGCACATATGGGGAAAGAAAGAAAATGTGACGTACTTTTCATTAGTAAATAATTACTACCTGTGCAATAGATAAATTATTGTTATTTAGCAGTACAAACCAACCCCATTATTTTCCCAAATAGACAACCAACTTTGCTTGCATACGAACAGACATTCAATCGTGTACCTCAACTACACACAAACTATGGCTGGTTCACTAACAATAGAGTTCAGTTTAATATAAAACCTGTAATTGCATCACATAGATCACGAGTCACTGAGTTTAAGAACTATTAAAGTTTTAACAGGAATACTTAGAACATGTTAGAGATATGGAACTAAGTTTATTAAATGGCCACCAGTCGGCCATTTTAAATACGATCTGCTAATGTGCATGAAACTTTTTGCATGTTTAATGTACATGCCAAGTTTGAACAAAAAATCTATGGACAATCAGAAAGATTGCAGAAAAGTTAAATTTTGATGAATTTTTATTTTTCCTACTTTGAACAGGGACCAACTTCTCTAAACAAGCAGTCAGAGAATAGGAGATCTTCATATACTTATACTGTACAGTCAATCATTAGGGCATCAACTTAGGTCTTCTAGGGGCACAAAATATCAATGCAAGACTAATCTTGTGGCCATTTAAACAATTGCATTTATGAAGTTTGAGCAACATGCACACTAAATTGAATATTTTACAAGATTTTAACAATTTTTTTGATAGACAGACCAGAACTGTTTGCAGGCTGCAAATAAAATTATTGTAAGCACATTGGAGTGTACATAAACCAAAACAATGCAATTATTGTACGCAGGATTTGTTTGAAATGCGACATTGACTATATACTCTCCAGCTATTTTGAGCTGACATAGCTTGGACCAGTGTGCAGTACAGTTCTTAAGGCTTGGTGGGAGCTGCAAAGCTCATTAATACAAGAGAATGTTTATTAAAATCAGTCAATTATTACTTCCAAGTACACTCATTTTCCCCAACAGTTCAGACAAGGTAGCAAGAACAAACTAGTGTTTTTTACAATGTGGTTTTGAGAGAAATCCAAAACCCACATCTCAGTTTATGAGACTAGATTCATTCAAAGATTTATTATACTAGAGTGAAGATGTAAAGTAACTTTCAATACAACCACATGGCATCACAGCCTACAATAGATGAAGCTGACCTGCATGTTCTACACATTTCCCAAATTATGACATAGAAAACAAGTTTCAACGAAATCCATCCATGAATTCCAGAAATGCTCGATATTTAATGATCGTTTAGCACAGAAAAGGCCACCATTTGGCCATTTTGAATAGGATCGTCAAACCAATATATCTGTTTATCTATGACATGATGTATAATGAATATTTAAAATTTGAACATAATCAGTGAAAGCAAGTCAGAGATATGGCACGAGAACCACATTCATTAATACAAAATGGCCGCCAGTTGGCCATTTTGAATCTTATCTGAAACACAAAATTATTTGCATCAAGGTCCCATAATGTCTAATGTATATACCAAGTTTGAACAAAATCCATCTGTAAACAGCCGAGAAATGCTTGATTTTTAGGATTTTTTAACATAAAAATGGCCACCATTCGGCCATCTTGAACAGATAGTGAAACAAATTGACGTGCATATGTATAATATCATGTGTGAAGTTTGATTGTCCAGGCATTTCTAAAATACAGGTCCGGACGCACGCACAGACACACGGAGGTCAAAACACAAGTCCTCGTTTTTGGACTGTCCGAATGGGGACTAATAAACCTGTCCACCCAATTATCAATGTCAGACGAGCAGTATTATTGCTAATAAAATCTGAAAATCTTCAAGAAGTTTCACACACCAAGATGTTAAATTAACCTTATAAATTTACAGTCAACCATGTTCGCTTTTCCTCTCTCTCGCGCACACACACACACACACACACGCACACACACACACACAAATACACGCGATACACACGCGATACTATCAATTGCATAAATATGACAGACAGGTTATGGAGGAGCAAAGCTACCTACAACACTCCATTCATGTGTACCATGTATACATAAGACAGATTGACAACACTTGTTACACTGTTGGCATGATCAATGACAAGTTGTTTTTTATCCACCAAATGGTCTTTTATTCATACTGCTGTAACATTTAACTGGCCATGTTGTATTAATACGGCCTTTACAGTGTTATAACTTAATGTCATGCAAATCACTTGAGAAAGGTTTTAGTGGAAGACTGTAATCTCTATTTGAATTCCATACATATCATTTAATTTGGCAGATGCATTTTCTAATTAAACAAGGAACACATGAAATAATTCATTGAACTAGCGTAATTGAATTCTGGCACCTTTGGTACTGAATAAATGTATCAGTGTTCTCCCAGAAAAATTGCATACAGCATCGTTCAATTTACACAATAGTTTATGTTATGCAAAATTGGTTCCATTGTATATCGAAAATTTTACAGTTGGGTCCCTGACTCTAATGCCCCGAGAACCCCCTGTGTATATAAAGGAAAATACACTGGCTAGTCCAGTTAATTTTCACATGTACACAACGATACATTTAAAGCTTGATTTTTATTGCAGAATACATTTGGAAATGCACTTGGACCTATTCAAATATTGAGCAGCCAAGAAAACTACCGAAGCAATGACTGTATCAGAAGAATTTTTAGCTGCGTTGCCAATCTGTCTTGGTAATTGAACCAAAATATTGATTTTTTTTATTATGTGAATATGTTGTATGGCCAGCATCGATAGGAAATAAGCATGACTGTTTTCATTAAGTCGCATACATGTACAGTTCCTTCCATTCTACACTTAACTGTAGAGATACCCACTGACAACACAACACAGTTGCAACATGCACACAACGTTTATCCCATCCCCAGACAAATTTATATAAATTTATTATTTGTTGAAACAAGATTGGTAACAAGACTAGTATTAAGTACAAACTGAATGGTAACTACAGTGTCGTAAAAGTATGCCGACTGGCATGTAACTGTAAAGACTAGGGTTATACGATCAATGAAGCACGACATTTACAGCATTTGAAAAACAATTTTATGTATAGTAGTTTCATGCTAAAATGACAGATAATGTTCCAACCAAACAACCTTGAATCTTTATTGCAGCATCTCAATACAACAAATAATTTCACCAGACCAATGTTATTTAACACTGATGGTGTTCATCGCGCATCCTTACAACAGATAACTTGAATGCACAAGGTCTAACAATGGCAGCTTTGATAATTTATTTGAAGTATATTTAAAAAAAAATACAAGATAATTTTATTTTCATGTAAATAGCATTTAAATTTTTGTTTATCCAACACGGGATATGAACAGAGAAAACACTGCATGCTGTGAACTTTGAAGTAGTGTAGATTACCCAACAGATGTATTATTTACAAATATTTTACTACATTTTATGTATCATTTTATTGACGTGTTTATACAACAGCTATTAAAACCTCAGGTGGTGAAAAGAAAAGGCCATCATACAAATTTTCTCTATCGTGCCTTTACTGTCAAAATCATTTGCACATGTCACTTAGTCTAATTATTCACACACACACACACACACAGTAAAGAGTTGATGAAGTGTTGCTGCAGGAGGGGATGACATGTTGAACACAGAATCCATTTCTCTACATGTACAAAAGAACTGCAAAGTGATAAACTGAGATGCAAGATAGGAGTGTCAGCAATATTTGCACATCTAATGTGCAGATAAACCTAAAACATCACTAAACGATGGCGATAAAATCTTCATACTTGAAATTGAATATTTATGTAATCATAAAAAAATATACCTCCTAAGATCCATAAACAAACAAGGATTGCATTCAAAAGTTTCATGTATTTTTGATAAAAAAAGGTTACTTTGCATATTTTATTTTATTCAAAACGCTTGTATGAAAATGATTTGTCTAAATGAACATGGAAACTGCTTAATTTTGGGATCATCACTTGCCTGTGCAGTACAAGTTAATGACAGAATACAAGAAATAAAAGTTCCTTGAAAAATTCATCATTAAAAGATTTGATAAAGTGAAAAGATACAGTCTTGCAGGAAAAAAACTATTATTCAAGCAAAAGGTGAAAAACTTGTAGCTACGTTTTAATATTGTTAGTGTTTTTTATTTGCCATTTAGACTCTCGGAACGCATTATTACAATGTGCAACTTTAGCACTAAACTGTTGGCCAAAAGACCATAGTTTGCCCGACATGTGATGTTTCACTAAAAATTTCTTGCCACTCGTGGAGGGATTAACTCTGTTATTTATGCAACAAAGAATGAACTACGAGAGCTGATTTGACCTGTAGTGAAAGTATTGATTATTTAGTAGCAGATGTTTGTCTTTTAACACGTTTTGCATCACAACTTCAATGGAATAACACAGCCTATGTGATCAAGGTTACTTCATGAGAAACCAAAGAGAAAACTTTTCACTGGATGGTAAACTACAAGCGTTTGAGGGGATTAATCAAAATGCTTGTTATAAAGCTAGTGTTTAAATAATTGAATAAAACAAATTGAATTAAAAAGTAGTTTTTTTACCAGTAACAGTTGGTAACATACTAGCAAGCATTTTTTTGATATGCACTTTAAAACATTTGCTTTGTATTTGTCAGTCTATACAGATTCAGTTATATATGATTGTAAAATTGACTTGCTGATTGACACAAGGTTGTCATTTATGAAGTATACTACTGAATAACGCTTGCATTTTTTTGACTAGCTTTGATGTACGGCAAACAGTTGTACATTGCATTTCATTCTGTATGTGATACAAAAAGAAATTGTGATAAAAAAGAAGCGACTCGATGCCACAAACTAAGCCTCAAAGTATTCACTGTTTGGTAGGAACATTATCTCAAGTTACCTAGAATCAATGCTAGAAAATTAAAGAGAATGCATTACCGGTCCTCCAAGTGGGCTTTGAACACTCATCAATGAAGCTGGACTGCCTGAATTATTTAATCCTCTTTGTGAACCCATCAAGCTTTGTGGGCCACCGGATGAGTTTCCACCTCCTCCTGCACCGCTAGCAGAACCTCCACTGTTATTGCCACCAACACTGCCTCCACCACCCATATTACGCAAGGCCTCTTGCTGCAGTAACAAAAACAATTGTAATGCAACTGATTTTATTTATTACACACTACTGGCTAAATACACGATATAAATTATGTACAATGAAGGACACTCATAACTTCAGGAAACTGGTGAATACAAAAACATTTTGTATTATTTCTAGTAGTCTATTCGGGATACTAAATTCAGAAAATGGTTGCCCTGGGACACATTTGAAAAAAATGAATTTTAAGATGTAATTTCTATAATATTAAAAACTGGTAGGTGAATCAACCAGACTCTGGAGAGCACTGTCCAGGTACAGAGACAAAAAAAATGCATGGTACACACTTTTGTATAAATAAATTACCTTGTTATAGCCCATTGATCTTGACTGGATAATATGAAATGAAAAAAAAACTTATCAATATCTGCCAAGGAACACTATTTTGAGACAGGACAGTGATCTCCAGACAGGTTTTTAGTAAACTGAGCATTTGCTAACTGAACATCACAACATATCAACAAAATGTTTACTTTCACTATCTGTTACAGCAACCCTTTGATAAATCGCTAATGGCTGAATGACCAAACATATAATCTATATCATTACGTGATTTAGCAGACACATTTGTAACTTGTGTTTAAATAATTTAGAAAACACTCTATGGCAATAAACTTTTCTGGAATTCACAACAAATAATGAGATAAGTAATAAGTAACTAATAAAGTTGGGATTGAAACAACCGCCAACACATTTCCCACATTTAACCTGTCAGTGGACTGTAGTTCTATTCAAAATAACATTTCATCATTGTGACAAACTTTTTTTTTGTGCTAAATGTAAAAATTTGCTTTAACACTTTATAAAGACACTAAATGTTGATGCATTATTTCAAGAAAATACACACTAACACCATATGTGAAAAACAGACTAATTCTTTTTAGGCAAATTTTACACTGATATCAATGCTATTTACCCATGACACAATACCTGTTTTTTTCTGCTTCAATGTATGGCATTTACATAATTTTTTTTTATAATTTAGGAGAAAGCAACTAGATTCCCTCGTTTGTCAGGCAGCCAAAAAAGTGGATAAATTGGGGGAAGAAAAAAGGCATAGTATTTTGCGACAATAGAAACTGGTATATGCTTAATGAAAAATATGCAAACGAAAATTCATTACTGCACAACTTTTCCCCTACTGATACTGTATTTTTTTATATATAATATATACTTGTTTTGTACCTGTAAAAACATTTGTCTTTTCATATCATCTTGTTGCAATGCTTGATCTCTCTGTAAAACCATGTCATCAGGCCTCCGTCTCATCAAAGACTCTTGTTGCATGCGCAAGTCACTATCACGACGCCTCATCATATCTTCCTGCTTGGCAGCCATTTCTCTTCGGCGTTGTTCTTCCCTCATCTTGAACTCTTCTTGACGCCTAAAATGTGACAAAGGCATCTAAGATCAGCACTTTAAGAACTATGAGCAGTTTGAGCCTAATTTAAGCATTGTGAAAGAACTTTCTAAGGTATGCATTTGAAAAAAATATGACAAAATTGAATATTGAATTTTAGAAATGTTAGAATTAGAATTCAAATATGGCTTTTTTATTTATGTCAGAGCGAAATTTTGTGATATGAAGAAATCTCACTAAAAACCTCTGAAAATGCAAATTTTAACAATTTTCCTTGAATTCTCGTATCCATGACATGAACTAATCAAGTAAAGGAAACAAGAATCTTCAATTCTGATTGAAAATTGCTGAATTACCTTCTTTCCATATCTCTACGATTTTCTTCCAATCTTCTAAGTTCTTCTTGCCTTCTCATAAGATCTGTTGACAGACAACACAGACAAGCGAGTTGGTATATTGTATCATACTATAAGGTTATTACGAAGAAACCTCAAAGTATGCACGAAGACAGCACAGCAGTAGTATCGATCGACACGCAGTGGAGGTCGATGCGACAGCGTACTGACTGAGTGCATACTTTGAGGTATCCTCATAATAACCTTATTATACATCTTTTCCTACCGAGGATACATCATGGGGATGCCAAAATCTGAAAAGTTTACAACAGAATCAGCGAACTTCTTTGTATGGAGTCCGGTCAAATCCTGGTGGCAGCCATGTTTGTTTTTATTATTAGATGAAACTTATGCGTGTAATCATTCCTTATTTGGAATTCGCGTTTTCTAACATGGTAGGATAAAAATACCCCGTAAAATACGGCACGCTGTAACTTGTGGCGTTACAGTGACAGATGTATAATAATAATACTGGATTTGGCCAATAACGATGTTGATATATTCAAAGCCAGTACAGAGTTGCAGACAAGTTATGTTATTATACCGACACGCAAAGCATGAAAGAAAAAGGTTGCTACGGTAACATGATCGTTCAGTGCGCGACTTTGGGTCAAACTTCGGTCATCACACACACTAGATGTCTCCAGCGTCACAGCTCAGCAAGTTTCGCAAAGTACTTTAAATTTCAATTGTGCTCCAAAACAATGTCGCTGATCACTCATCGTGTGTTGTGGTCATGTCATGATGCACCCCGTTTCGAGTTGCTTTTCCTTCTCAGTGCATGCCCTTGCTCGTGACAAATGCGATCTCTCACTAATGTATCAAAACACTTTGGATTTATACTTTGCGTGATTATATTTGGTCAACGCAAAACATTGTTTTCTCTAAACATTTTCTGAGACTGTTTTTATCAGTGCCGAGTTATTTTTCCAGACAAGATGGGCTTCGTGATATCTGCCACAACATTGCTCGGGCGATCTTTTGGTCCACATTTTTCTAGAAAAACAAGCAGCCTATCGACTTTGATAGCTCCGCTGTTACCAATGCACATTTCAATTAAAGTACAGAAGATATCATTAGATTTTTTAAGTGTATTCCGATAGTCTGTAAAAAGTAAAGTTGTACCTACCCTGTCTCATTAACATCGCCTGACGTTCACCAGCTGCAGACTCCATCTCGCAATCCAACTTATCACGACCATCCATTTGTTGTTTCTTCAATAATTCTAATTGTTCTTGTTCATATTCATACTGTTGTTTCCACTTACAGGACCATTCATATTCAAAGGAACCCGGAGCAGCAAATCTAGGAATACCTTCTCTTTCTCTGAATTGGAAATACGAGTAAATAATTTTAGTTTCCAGGAAGGGTATCCATGTGATGCAGTTTTTAAAGGGTGGCAGACAAACCCACCTTCCCCATAACATCAATGCAATTGTTAATTATACACAAATAGGTCATTTTGCATAGGTTCATATCACAACCCTAATGCAGTTTCTAATGCAAACATTTTTAACTTACTTGTGATAAGTAGCATTTTTTTGAACATTTTTTTCTGGTAAACCATCTTCTTCATCTTTTTGGTCGAGTGGTTCTACAATGATGGGCTTTGGGGTGCTGGAAAATAAATACAGTACTGTCAAATTTTAGCTCACCTATACCAATAATTAGTCATAGATAAAAGTTGACACGTCCTGTCAATTTGACACAGACAGTGGAAAATAAAAATACGTACGTGGTAAGAACAAAGCAGCCCTCTTTACACCTTTTCAGTGCATTTTGTGCACCAGGTTTTCGTGAGAACTCTACAATTCCATCACCAGTTGGTCTACCACGATCATCAACAATAACAACAGCTCTTTCAATTACACCAAATTGTGAGAAAGCTTGTTCCAGGAGTTCATTGGATACAACTGGGTGCAAATTACGAATGCGTAGAGCTGCCCCATGCGTAGCAAATCTGACACGTAAAACTCTACCCCTTCTTGTGGATCCATCTAGTTCAGATTTTGCCATTTCTGCATTTAGTCTTGTATCCTATAATATTGAAAATGGACTATATAACATTATAAAAATTTGACCACTTTTTGCTGGCCTTTGGTCACTCTCACTATAACTTAAATCATAATCTTGCCTATCTAGCAGTGCTTCTAAATTTCAATTGTACATAACCCTCTTCAAGAAACTTATTTGGATGGGCAGATACAATTATATCAGCGAGACCACTTGATTACAAACACGTACACTAAAAAAATGCAGTCCCTTACCCCTTTGCTATCATCGTTTTACAGGCCAAATTGTGGCTCCACTGGAGTCCCTAATAAACCCATCTGGACTGAACGAACGAAATCAAAAATTCATAGAAAATTAATCATTTTTTGGACTTTCTTTCATTGCCTGATTAAATTGCTACATTCAAATACATACTACACATGCAAAATAAAAATTATCCAGCACTATTTTCATCGATATCACTGCTAATCTTTTGTCTTCTAAAACATTCAAATAAATATGTAATTAGCTAGTTGGTCAGTAGCTCTGTGAATGTGGAGGCGCTCCTATTCATCGGGACCTTATCTGCGCCCCAATACACAGCCCTGTGAACGACCATAGGCATTTTCAAAAACACTACACATGTCATATAAAATGTCTCATTTCGGGACGAATTCATACCTCTTTGCACCAAAAGCAGCGTCGATCACCTTAACATACTGTAATGAACACTCGGTTGTTGAATTGATGTACTGTAGGGAAGTTTTGGATGTTAAAACAGACTATTGCCCAAAATGCGTATACACAGTACTTAAGTATATAAACAGACGCCATTTTGGTCACGTGATAAAACTTTACTATGACTTTACTATGAATGACGAAAACGTGTTTTCTATGAGGAAAATCAATATAAAACTTGTTTTACAAATAATTGTTGTGGTTTTTGACTAAAATGTTTAAATTTTCAGTTATTTTCAAGAAAAAATACTTTAATTTTAAAAAGTAATATAATATTTTGTTATCCATCATGCTTGGCAGAATAAAGTATACTAAATCTTAATGATGGAGGTTATAGCTGCTACAGAT